TTGCTGCAAAAACTAATAAATGCAATAAGATGCAACAAAATGCAAAAAAACAGTAATAAAAAGAATAAGGTTGTAAAGTTACTGCATACAAATTAATAGTAAGGGAAAAAAGTCAGTATATATTGCAAGATAAGTTAGACAGAAAACTATTTGATCAAACTAGTTACAGCCGAGCTGGGATATTCTGGATATTTAATTGATTAAAATTAAAATGGAAATAAGATCAGTAGAATTGAAATTAAAAATTTGATCAGATCAAATCAGATATACAAAAAGTTTAGAGTTATGAAGTTAAAACTTCAGTATCATACAGAAGATTGCAAAATTAGAGACAGAATCCAGAAGGAACGAAATATACTTTTACAACAATGAATAATCAAAATAATAACAGTATTAGGTTAACAAAATTGTAATAATCACGATTGTAAGACTTCGAAAGCTGCACAAAAATTTGTGTTGCTTTTGGTTGCAAAAAATATCACTGATAGCAATGATAACAATGGTGACAACAGCGATCATTTATATGAGTCATTAAAACCAGATAATGATAAAAATGATGAAAACTTTGATTCATAAAAGGAGTTGACTTTTGTATGACTTGTGTTATCCTATGTATTTTTCACTAAATTACTTTAAAATATAAAATTTGTTGTTAAATTTAGCAGAAATAGAATTACCCAAGTTACCAGCCCAGCACTTGATTGCATCGTCGTCAGGTGTATGCATTATCAAAATACCTTGTTGATAATGGCATTCAGTACGGATTGAGCTAATATCTGAGCCATGAGATAGTTCTGTTAGACAAAAACTACCAGTGATCTGAAATTCAAAAACTTTCATTACATAACCTTGAAAAGCTGCTCATTACATTAGATCATGAACAATTTAGCTTCATTTCGCAAAAGTATTAGAAATATTTTTTGAATTTTACTGCCTAGTAAAAAAAGTACTTATAAAAAATCCTAACAAAAAAGAGCAAAATACATGGACAGTTCAGTCACAAATTGTATACTAACAGAGATTAACTGTATATTATTTATCAGAATTAATGAGGTGAGATAAAATCTTCAATTTAGTTATATTTAATTAATTTTTAATATTTAGTTAGAATTCTATTGTTATAAAAAGTTCAGTCAATTATCTTTGGAAACTATACTGTAAATATCGTATGAAAATTAGCACTAATTTATAAACTAAAATTTTTAAAAAATTATGAATATTTTAAGATATGATAAGTTTTTTGGAAAAATGTAAATAATCAAAAAAATTTCTGATATTTTGAAAATGTGAATGTTAAAGTGATAAAAACTGTGAAAACTTCGAAAAACTCAAAATATCACCAAAAAAAATCAAAATAATATTCAAAACAAGAACGAAAAATCAAAAATTAAAAATTGAAAATTTAATAAAAAATAAATTAATCGAAATAAAATACGGCTTTAAAAAAACTATCCCGATAATACAAAGATAAAATCGAAACAAACTTCATTGTTTAAACATTTTTGGA